TCTCCGTGAGGCGTTCATCCTCACGAAGCAGCTGCGCTCGTATCTGCCGGGAAAGTGCAGGCTCTCCTCCAGGTTACCCTCCCTAGGGACAGAGCAGTGATACACACGAGAAACAATGGGAGGAGGGAGACCGGAAAACCTTCGGCTCTCGACCTCATTGCTCGATGGGGGATTGGCCGCCATATTCCGGCACCGATGGCGAGAGCATTCGCGGTATGAAAGTTCACGCCGGCAAAATATTCAATTCGTTCATGATTCCTTTGTATGTTCAAAGCGATTGGTCGGGCAGTGTGAGACATCGTGGCCGAAAATCCGAGTACCGAGATCTTGACTGAGTCCAGAGGAGCGGCTTCGTAGATCTTTGGCTCATGAAAGAGCAGCCTTCCTACCACAGAACTTTGGAATGTAGGGAAAATCTCCACGAGCCTGACTCAGTCTGTCCGCTCTGTCTTTGAGCACCCTTCGCGTGTCTTGGAACACCTCTGACTCGCTCCAGCGGCGGGCAAATCCGCGATCTTGACTAACGGACAAATGAGCGGGAACCGTGAGTGACCCTTGATCGTGAGCATTCTGCAGACTGACAGCGAGAGACGAGATTGTAAGGGAAGCATTCCGCGCAACTTTTCCCCCGAAAATGCGCCCGTGAATGAGCTCGCCTCACGGTGGTCTACGCACACCGAGAGCCTCGATTTCTGTTGACCCAGAGGAGACCGTTCTGACGGAATCGATTCATTGTATCTGGTACACCCGAAAGAGATTCGGGAATCGGGTCTCTTTTGCGCCGTCGAAGCGAATGTGTTGCAGACTGAGTGAGAGGATGAATGAAAGAATTGATTGTCTTGTCGCCGGTTCAGTTCTCGGTCAGTGCGTCCTGTGCACCGTCCTCAGATCGCTTCTGCCGGTTTTCGCGTCGTCGAGCGAACCGTCTCGGCTCGACGCTAAGCAATGGCGACAGACGCACACAATACGTTCGGCGACGGCATTCTGGCAGACGAACAAAATTCATCCACAACAGCATCTTTCAAGCGCTAACGGAGAAAAAAGCGGAGAAAGATGGACACTTTTGTCCGGATCTCTTCTTTCATGCCAGTGCTCGCGATCGACCGCATGTCAGGACGGCGGACGGACACGGATTCGACGCTGCACTCTTCGCCATAGGATTCCGACGTCACAGTGAGCGCGCACGGAAGTCGGGACGGAAATTCCAACCGCCTCCATGGTCCCTCGGCACCCGCGCGAGACGCAAATTCCGTTAAATACTGAAGGAAGCGGCTCGAAAGCAATAGCAACAAGAAAAACTTCTGACAAATCTTTCAGACCGAAGCGAATTTCGCGGATCGACGGACTAGCGAGCAAACAAGTCGACGACGAGACGATCGCCGTTATCCTAGAAATCGAGATGATTATCCAAAAATTGGTTCATACAAGAACAACGAGCCGTAAAACTCCCCGCGAACAGCGCGCCGAGTCACCCCGTGGGGTCAGCAACGTATATTGTCTTTGCATGCCGGCCGAATCTAGCACTCGATTGGGTCCGCGAGCACAAACACTTACGCGCAAACGTTGACCGGCATGTAGAAGAAAATAAAGAACAACGAACAGAAAGTGTTTCTCGAACAACGAAGAGCCGGAGAGCCCTTTGACTGATTAGTTCGCCGGCGTTCGGCTCTTCTGTCGAGCGATTCGAAGCGAACCACGAGTTCGGACGCGTAACTAGTGTCACAGCGATGACGACTTCCGTCAACGTCTTCTGTCTCGTTGACTTATGTAGTGGTCGGAATCAATCTGGACGGTCAATCTGGATGGGAACACACGATAAGTCGCAGTCGTTGATATGCCGACGAAATTGTCCCATCCACGATTACGACTCGCTACATTGTTCGAAGTTTGATGGAATTGAGAGAGAACTTCGAAGCGCTCCCTCCTGGCTTTGGAAACTCGAATACATCATTCAGCGGTCGCTCCCCTCATCCCAAGCGCAGATCATTGTTGAGCCGCAACGAGCTCGCGTTCATTATTTCTTGTCTGAGGTCGGAGCGCCGTTACAGAAACCAATGTACAATACATTGAGGTTTTCTGCCCGCTTCTCCCGGCACAATGGCCGTGCAGTATTGATTCGACTTCCCGTTGAAGCATTGAATCGGAGAAGGTTTCGTTCCGAAGTGTAGCGAGCACCCGTCGAAATTCTCGGGAATTCCCGCCGAAATCTTCCGAAGTTCTCACCGAGAGACCTTGAAAACTTTTTATCGCTCGAAAAAGTGGCTGACGCTCCGGAAATAGTGGAATTGACACGATTTTAAAGTTTTCCCAAAAATAACTTCAAATGTTCTGATCGCTCAGTCGAAAACCACCACGGGGATTCCGGGGCGTTCCCATCAGGATTGGCCGCTGAGGAGCTCAGATCGCCAGCACTAGGATTCGTTGGGACTTCGGTCGCCGCGTCCAGTCCCCGGAATAGATTTCAAAGGCAGCTTTTCGAGGATATCGATGAAACTTAGCCGACACGACTCGTTTGGGGGACCTTGGAGCCAACTGAGAGGACACGGTGGAAGACGATGATGCTCAGACGTTTGACAGGGCAATTTTCCATCTGCGTACCGAGTCAGAATTCAGAAACTTGAAGACAACTTTTTAACAAGTTTCTTCTTCTATGACCAGTCACAGAAGACAAATAGGAGCATGAATATTCGCGGGATTTCAGAGAAAAAATATCCTCCCTATGACCCCGCAATTTCATGTTCTTTCGACAAAGCTCCTGAGCTGACCCCCAACCCCAGAAGATATTCGTATACGAGTTCCACGTTTGCGCTCTCCCATATCATTTCGAATCCAGTAGGGACCCGAGCCAACCTCGGGAGAATTTACAAGATCAGTCCCGAACGCGACAGCTCCAGAATTCCATCAGACGACTTAGCCGGAAAGTTTTCAGCAACGGATAATTCTTTCAGGGACTCGCGAATTTACTCGATTCTGGATATAATTCCTCGGAGCGACCCCGGAACTCCGCCGAGCTTTAAAAGTAGGTAGGATCGGTATCGAATACCGGACGTGCAGATTTTTTTCAGAGGGATGCACGGCTAGAGTGCATCAAATTCGCCTGACCGCGCGGGTGCTCCGCGCCCACTACTCCTGTCAAATATTTCCAGCATTATCGCTAGCTAAGCGTCGTCGCTGTGCGAGTTCTGGCTCGTTCAGATGACCTTCATTCCCACTGAACTCCACGACATTAACGAGAGTCCACAAGAATCAGTGAGAGCGACTGGTGGGGGAGTGGACCTCTGTGATTTCGATCCTGGCCGTTCGCGCGAGGGAATCGCACCTGCAGGAGGAAAAAGAGGAACATCCCTTCGACTTCAGATATTCACGGTGAAAGAGGTGAGGACGAGTGAATGGGTTGAAGGATGAGAAGAAGAGAGAGGGATTGAACAGAATCACACAATGTCAGAAAAAAAGAAGACGGCAGTGCCGATCGACGGTCAAAGCAGAGTTTATCGTACGGGAACGCCGAATCCAGTTTCATTACAGCGTTCTTTGTTACACCAAGCTCTGAAGCAGCCGACGCCGCCGCCGCATTTTTCTATCCTCTTGGAAGATGATAGCTGCGAACACTCGCGATGAAAAAAGCCAAGTAAATGAAGGGAAAGCGAGCTACCGCGACAAAGGCGACGTTGTGCAACGAGAAATCTCGTGCAAACTTCTTGCACAGAACAGGTCAATTAATTTCGTCGTCGTCGTGTGTGCGTGCCTCCCAACCGCAGAGCGATTCAGTGTTCGCCTACCTAAGTCTGACTCTGGATCAAGTCAAATTTGAATTGTTCCAAATCTTGCGGTGAGGCGGAGCGGAACGTCCAGTTTGTAACCGATTCATTCGGCCGCGAAAACTTCGCGAGTGGCGAAGTCTACCGGTGGTGGTGGTGGTCGTCGTCGTCGACGGAGTCAGAACGTCTAGAGGAAAACTGCGTAGACTAAATATAGATCCTATGAGCAGTTTTCAATTATCCTTGTTTACCTCGCTGATAAGGAAAATCGTACTCAATCGCGTCTCTCTCGTATTCTTTCGGGTGTTTGAGAGCGTTCGATCTCATGATGCGCCTCACACATGGGGACAATTGTTTCGTCGGAGGGGACCTCGAAGAAAGAAGCCAAAAGCTCTTGTATTGGCTCAGTGCAAGCTACCCGGCCTAACTACTGGCTTCATCGTTCGCTTGTCCATCGAAGCTCCCTACCACCATCACCCGCCGCGGTACCAAGAGCAACTATCGGTGGTGGTTCATCGTGAGGCTGAGGAGAAGACGACGATGGCGACAACGTCGACAACAAAGCCACGAAAGAACGGACGCTTGAACCGATAACGTTGCCAGTCAGTCAGTCAGTCAGTCCGCCAGCCCGTTCGTTGGTTCGTTCATTCGGCTTACCAAGTGTGTGCTTGTGTTGGAGCCACCGTGGTGTGGCTGGTTTGCTGCTTTTTCAGCTATAAAGAATGTACGAACACTTTCCGCTCTTCCTTCCAAGACGAATGTAAATACACGACGAGCAAAAGGAATCGTTGCCACACCAGCTCCAGATAACTCTGAGCAGCGGTGGTGGTGGTGGCGGCGGCGGCGGCGGCACTCTGACGACACATTGATCAAGATGATGCCGTCGAGTTACAAGCAGCCACGACATCGTTCTTTTAAATGGGCCCCTCGATTTCATTCTTTTTACACTGGCTCCATTTAGTCGACTTTTACTTTTCTTCGTCGTTCACTCTCATGTGAGCGCCGATGCGACAGTCGTTCGCAATCTTCGATGTCGTCGGATTCAATTCCACAATTATTACACACGTCGTTAACGAGCTCGATAAGCAGAGGAGCGAGGGGCGGAGAGGAAAAACTTTGAGAACGCATTAAACTTTCGCGAACGGGGTCGCCAACGGAGAACAGGTACCTGGCTTAGAAGAAAAGGAAGCAGCAGCAGCACGGAATCGTTTTCTAATCGATCCGTCAAAGATTGGGACTTACCGATCATCAATAACGCTATCGTGAGGTGTTCTCTACCGGTCTTGAAGGTTCCTAGCACGGTGCCGACGAGCGAGCAACTGAGTCCAACAAAAGCAATCATCAATATGAACCATCGAATCGAAATCGTCTGATTAATCAAGAAAGCGCAGCAGTGTTTCGGAGTCTCGATTTCTGGATCGAGGAAGCGTCCCGGCCGCGCCAAGGGCGGCGGGTAGTGCAACGAGAGTCCGGCCCGTGTAGCCCGCCGGGGCGAAGCGTACGGCGGTAGCGCTCCATCGAGACAACCCTGAGCGTCCGATGGGACTCTCTGCGCTCGCGTTCTCCGCGGCGGGAGGTTCTGCCGCCTACACTGGCGGTTCACCGACGACCAGCCTGCGTTTAAACGCGCCAGGGTGCTCCGAGGGCGATGGGTTTCTTCCTCCCCGGCGGTCGCTTCCTCGACATAGAAAGTGGATTCGGTTGGTACTGTTCCTGTTATCTGATGGCCATTGATCGGGAGATCGGTGAGAACCACTTCCCTGATGCAGAATCCGCCTTCGTCGTCCGATTCAGACCGCGACCTCTGCGATAGGATCGCGCGTCGCCCACGTCGTCGCTGTCGCTGATCTCTCGTGGCAGACACCAGGGTGGCCTCCGTCTGAGCGCCAGGGGGGAGTAATGAACGGGGTGGAAGACTTCCCCCGCCACCAACTCCACAACAAGGTTCACCAGCGACGCCGCCGCCGCCGCCGCCACCAACGACACCGAGCTCAGCACCACTACCGACGACGACGCATAGGGAATCACAGGCCGCGTGTCGGGGATGATAGAGGGAAGGGGGCAAGTCCACTTCGGACTTGACTTCGTCTCCACGGGCCACGGCAACTCTGCTGTTGCCCCCCCCACGACGTAGCTTCGTACCTTCCTGTCCTCGGGGATGAAAATTTTGATCCTCGTAACGGTGATCCACGTAATATTGACAATCCTCCTGATGATCACTTTGATAGTACCGAGGGGGGGCAACTGGGGGGCTCTCTGTGAAACAGATTGTCGACGAGGAGACTTCGGCGCGTCCAGTAGCACTTGAAGAAATTTCTCTCCGCGCCGTCTTTTCCCTTGTTGTGCTCGAAGCCGCTGTCGTTGTTGTTGCTATTGTTGCTGCTGACTTTGTTGCTGCAGCTTCTGCTGCTTGTGCTTTCGTCTTCGTACTCAAGGCATCGATTGGTTCTGTTCGTTGTTGCTGCCGCTGCTTCTGCACACGATCGGCAGTTCGTACAACATCTGATTGGTTTACTAGCTGCTTGCTCTTCTTATAGTTGCCGTTTTGAGATTGTGGGAGCAATCCCTGGCGCTCGGGTGGCTCGCTGCTTCGCTTGTTGCCCGGGAGGAGGGACGCACCTTGGACTCTGTAGAGATTCGATGGAACCACACTGGCAGATGCAGATGACGAACTATAACTTAATCCTTCCGTGACTGCAGTTGTATGCCGATCGAATTTAGCACTATCATGATCCTGAGTTGAACGCGCAGGATGACACAAAAGTTCGCTCGTCGAAATTGAAGTATAGTAATCCGGCGGCGGAGTCGCCACTCTGCGAGCTGTGGCTACTGCCAACTGACAACAGTCGCACTCTGCTCCTGCGTTCGAGCTGCTGCTTCGACAGCCACAAGGGGCGCCCTGGTCGTCGACTTCAGATGGGCGCCGCTGACGCCGCCGCCACCGCCATTGCGCATGCGTCCTGTGGTCAAAACACTTACGACTGTTGGACATTGTTGTTCCGGCGGGCGAAAATTCCGCCGACGCGTCGAAGAGCGAATTTTGGTACTCGTCTTCGTCGTATGCTGGTGGTGACATCATCATCGTCATCGATGTCGACGACGGAGGTGGCCGCAGTAGCGACGGTGGCGGCGGTCGTGCCGATGTCATGTGCAGAAGGACGCATGCAGCACACCTCTGCTTGATGCGGAAAGCCCTCCAACGATTTCTGGCAATCTGTCGGGCTCGACATCCATTCTGAATTCTCTTCGGTTCCTCCAACAAGGCGCGCGGTTTCCTCCGCGCCATTTTTTCTCACTCAACTACTCCTTCCTTCCTACTGCTGCTGCTGCTACGGCAGCTGAAGACGATGATGCTGGATTCTCGGCCGTTTCGCTGCAAGCGAGACAGAGAAACGTCATTATCAGAAAGAGGGGATTACTCGGTCGTCGATTCTTCCCCAGCGAAAAAATAGAAACAGAAATCTCTCAAATGCTCTGTCGTAATCGATGACAGCACCAAGTCTCATATAGCTCATGACTCCATGACTGCGAAATTTCAAGCTCGTGAGCCCCTTCCACTGGGTTATACACTTGACAGAAGTGCTCGTCCGCGAATTGATTCGATCGCACCGGGACCGGGACCGTGACCGAAAGTCTAGAACCGAAATTCGGGAGCGAACCCGCCTGCTCGCCCTCGCGATCCCGAAGCTCGATGACAAGGGGTGGTGACCGCCTCCCTTTTCCTAATCATCAGTCAAGACACTGGGGTATGGATACCGAAATGGCGGTCCATGATTATTATAATCTGTCCCGGAATTATTCTTGGCCCCTAAGGAGAAAAAATCCTCAGACCGCCTCTCGTCCTCAAAAATTATAATCGTTGCACAGCGTCCTGCTCTCTGAAGCTCACGCAGCGCCTTATCCGACAGCCAGGGAATCGCTTGATGCAGAGCTCTGGAGCAGACTAGCAGACCAGAGGGGAGTCATTCCATTTAGAAGTACGCACCGCTTCTTCTTAGAAATCCCTCTTGTTCTATCCTCTCCATTTCTTAGGTAAACAGCCGTGAGCCTGGAACAGAGCTCTCCGAGTTCACTCACACATAGCCTTGACCTCTGCGAATTCTAAGCAGGAGCTGGTCTACTCACAAGAACAAATGACAACGTTTGCTCTGATACGAGTTTCGGAGAAGCCTCGACAAATAAGCTGTCGGATATCATTAACAACTCTGTGTGAGAGAGGAGAAGCCGTGACGCTACGATCCTCTGGTGGTTAGAGCTAAGCGCCGAGACTGTGAGTCGGGGCTCTCTGCCCCATTTATTTGCGTCCCGGCTTCTCTGAGGGGATACGCACAAAAGACGCCGTAGATACGAGTACGAAAATCTCTTTGTGCTTCACGACTATTCTTCATTCCCTGTTCTTTCTCTTCCAACGAGTCGGCTGATGGCTTGAGCGTGTGGACAGCTGGTCGTCGTTGCCGTGAGCTCTTGCATATTTTGATGAATGTCCTCTCGACTGGAGCTTTTCCGCGTCAAGACCCTGATACGATAAATTGAAGTCTAATTGCTCGTGGAGCCCTGAGCGAGCTTGGACAGGAGCCGAGGAGAATCATCTGGAACCGATTCCTTGCGCGCATCGGCACCGACTGGGGAACTTGGTGCTCCCAAATGAGCCTTCTCAAATGTGGAAACCGCTCCGTGAGCCGTGCCGGGCGAGGTCCGGACCTCTGTTGGTTTTTCGACGCTCCCGGATAGAGAATCCGTTCGGTCGATTCCAGACGTGTATTTCCAGGAAGATATTCCTCACCCGCCAGAACGCTCCCCGATAGAGGAACTGAGGTGGCCCCGACGCACGCGCAGCTCCGGTGCGCTTCCCGGAACGAGGAACAGCCATTTGTGTCGAACCATTTCAAGGTCTTCTCGGAGTCTCTCCGTGCCGGACGATAGCACGGACGGTTGGGCAAGCGGGCGCGTGGATGGACCGACAGAGCTGTGTACGCAGGCACTCTCTGTGAGCGAAATTCCGGGATTCCACGGCTTCCAAGGAGTCGGAGTATCGACCGCCGCCGTTCTCCGAACTCGCAAAGGATCTCGGGCTGTCTTCCACGAACCAGGGTTCGTTCTGCTTAGTTTCCCGCTATAATAATCGGCCACAAGGTCGTTCGCCTCACGGTTCTCGTCACGTTCACTTCGGAACTTGAATACCCAGAAAGAGCCTGATTCTATGCAGTGGATCTCACCAGGGTTCAAATCCCCGCGGAAAAAAGGCTCTTGATACAAGTCTTACCCCCCGGCTAGAACCGTGCTTCATCACGCCCTGTCCTGGCAATGAGTTCATTGGAAGCGGGAGTTTGAATTCGATCCTTGCTCTGACGTTCGCTGAGAAACACCACTGTACGAATATGCTCGAGCCGAGGGATAATGTCCCTCCGACGCCCCTGACATATTTCTTGAATAGAGGGCTTCAGTCAGGGAGTATTCCTGAGAAATATATTGGGACCATCGCCCAACCAAGCGACGGAGCTCGATTTCAAGAGGGTACGTAAGTTCCGCGGCTGCTTCCGGAGAAAGCGAAAACACTCCAGGGAAAAATTCGAACGCGGCAGACAGCGAGTCAGACGGGCTGGGTGTGCGAATTGTGCACTTCGAGTTTCACAGTTGGACAGCTCTCGTCACAAAGTGATCTTCGTTTTCCTAACCCCGGGCGTTGGGAGCACAACGAAGGAATGAACGAAGCAGCAAGCCGGCCGGCTTGCTAGCCAGCCAACGACCAGAGTTCTCCCTCTACCGCTCACTCAGATGTCAGATTTTCTGCCCAAGGGGAAAAATTCGCTTTCTTTTGGTTGGGGAGATTGGACGCGTTCGACAAAGCCTCCGTTCCCTCCTTGTCGTGATTTGATTTTGTTCAGTAAGCTCTGCTTCCCGCCCGTCCGAAGGCCGCTCACCCGGATGGATGGCTGACTTGCAGCTCCGGCGTGGATAGACAAATAGCTCAAAGGATACGACCACACTGAGGGTGAGGTCTCGGTTCCGATCCAGTTTCGGTTGTACCTGCTTGACATGCTTCCGAACACGTTGGAAATGGACGGAATCGGTAACGACGACATGCACCACAGCACGATTGGGCTTGTTTGTCCGGTGCGAGCATGGGCGGGGCATTTTCTCGAGGCGTCCGTAAATCCGAGAATTTCCCTCTCGATGAATTCATCGGACATTTTTGTGAGGCTCAGAGTTTCACTGTTCGGAAACCCCGATGATGAGAACACGCAATATTGTGAGCTCAGGCCTCCAACTTATGCTTCAGAGTGCGCTATCGATCCACAATACGCGAGAAAACAAAGCAAATCCCAAGAGACGCAGAGCTGCATCGAGCTTTTTTCGTCAACGAATGTTTCGTTATTTATAGTATTCTTCGTTCATCCTGCAGTCATCCGGAGTTCG